TGTACACACCCACCTCCAGAACATCAAATACTGATGAAAAGCTATAAGAAGGAGAAACAGTACTAGTACTGTGATGAGCATAGGGGCTGGAGCAGGAAATTTGAATTTTGCCACTGGTCAACCACCACTTTGGGCAAGGCACTTCTTATCTCTGGGCCTCAGTTTCCTCATATAAAACCAAGGCATTGGACTAAATCTCCTGAGTTCCTTCAGTTTCCGGGTTTACAAAGCAAGTGGTTGCTAGGTGTGGGCAACAAAAATTAATTGTGTCAGTCATGGATGAGTCAGACTAGAAGCATCAGGAGAATGAAGTCTTCACAATCAATTTAAGGGCTCAGGCAATTAAGAAACACTTTTAATTGATGGCTTGAGGGCTTGTTCCACTCAAAGGATAGATTCCTCAAGAGGCATGGGGTGACTCACCAGATAGCTGTAACCTGAGGCAATTGAGCTCTCCAATTTCCTTGCTCTGGTTCCAGACAACTCAATGATCCTAATTTGCTTTTCTAGGGTGGTTCCCCCAAGGTGAGAAAAGGGACTGACAGACACTGTTGTCCTTATTAGGAGCCATCAAATTGAGTAGGCTCATAGACCTTATGAACACCAGGCCTGAACCTTGTCCTATCCTGGGCCATCCTTATCATCTCTGACACTTTGTTACAGTCACTGTGTTGATCAATACATCTCTTTGGAGGTCTTCCTCTCTTTCACTGACCCTCTACTTTTCCAAGCATAATGTCCTTTTCCAAGGAATAGCCTCCCTTAACATGCCTGAAGTATGAGAGAGGAAGTTTTGCTATCTTTGCCTCCAAGAAGCACTCTTGCTGCACATTCTCCAAGATTGTGCCTGATTCAGTGCATCTTTCTAATTACTTGCTATGTGTCTGAGGACTTGACAATGAATAAGGATAATATAAGAAAAATTGATGCCTTTGAGTTGTGGTCTTGGAGAAGACATTAGGTCCCCAAAATGCATGGCAAAATGGAAATGAATATTCTTTTGTAGAAGTAAAATTCAATCATGTATGATAAATAATGTGAAGTTATAGAAAGTAACATTTAAATGAAAAGGGAGAGCATTCTTAACAATATCATCCTGGTTGTGAACTATTCTTATACTGATTTGACTAGACTTTGAGAGTGTTCTTTAAAATGAGTAAATCCTGGAAGACTTGTTAAATGTGGAAATCTCTGATGGCCAATTAACAAGGAGCTGTGCTGCCAACTAAAATGCAAATGATTCAAATCTGTCAGCTCCTTCATTGAAGAAAGTTGGGCAATCTCCTCTCATGTGTTTTGCTGTCTCTGAAAACCCACTGGAGTCAGTTGAGTTGGTTCCAACTTGACAATACATAACAACAACTGGATAATATAAAAAGAGCAAAGGTCACGTGGGGATAGCCATATCTGACCTTCACCAACTCCACAAAGGGAAACTGTCCCTGTCAATAACATCAACAACACAAGACCAATTCCAAAGAGATCAGCTATGTCCCCCACATTCCTGTACCTCCTCCTACTCATCTCAACACCAATGTTAGTGCTTTACTGGGCCTAAAATATGTTATGATAGCTCACAGACCACACAGAACCATATTAGGAAAGCCTAAAGGTTATAATGCAGGTTAGTAGCAAAATGCAATCACTCAGTCCAGGTAGCTGCTGAAATGTGCTCACAGGCACCCACCCTTCAGCATCACAGCTTTAGGCCAGTCCTGCCAATTATGGCTTTCCACTCCCCCTGCCCCAAAGTCCTCTAACAAACTTTGGCAAAAGTTCCTAGTTTTGTTTCTATAGGGTAGCAGTCCCAAAGCCCACTCCATTTCACCTCAAGTCTCTGATTCTCGCATGCAGGAGCAATATCTTTGTAAATTATGACCTAACTTGGGAGGGACTGGAGAACATTATGCTGAGTGAACTAACTCAGTCCCACATGGATAAATATTCAATAAGACTGTTATTGTAGAATGAGTATAAGGATCCAGGAAGGGTGGGAGAGGTTGGAAAGCAGAGGGATGTGGATATACAGGGGGAAGAGGGGATTAATCATTGGGTTGTACAATTTGATGGGGAGGGGTGAGGAAAATTGAAAGAATTTGTTCAAATTTGTATTTGAATTTTGTAAATAAACTAGTAGAAAAAATCTTGATAAAGTCTCTGATTCTCTACTGCAGTTGCTATGGCTACTATTCTCATAGGCTCCAGTCTGGTAGGAACAAGGATCTCTGGCCCTGAAACACCCCATTGCATTCTCTTGCTGTTTCTTTGCTTGTGGTCAAGTTCTCCTATTCTATGGCTGAATCTGCTCAGTTTAATGTCAAGACTAGCCAATCCCCTTGTGGATAGGTTAACATGCCCTATTCCCATCCATCCACATGGCAAAGTCAGTCAACAACAAACCCTTAACATCACAGGTAAACATTATTAATAGTTACATGTCATTGCTGTTAGTTGCTGTTGAGGAGACTCTGACTCCTGGTGGCCTCAGAGAGAATAGAATGAAACATTGTTGTGTCCTTTGTCATCTTCACATTGGTATGCGTATACCCATTGTTGTAGCTGTTGTATATTTTGTGTGCCTTTTGACCAAGGGGTTCATCCTCTAGCACTATATAGGACAATAATCTGTTGTGATCTGTGTTTTAATTTTGGGAATTAGATTCCCTTCCTTACTCTGGAAGTTCTATTGAACCCTATCTACCATGGATGACTCTTCTAGTATTGGAAAGAACAATCAGTGACAACTGCTTGCATCATAGCAACACACTGTGGTATCACAAACTGACAGCTAGTAGACCTTTTACAGAGTGCTTTATAACTTACAAAAGATCTTTATAAAAGCATCCCCAGTATCTCTGGGAGAAACATCCAAACAAACAAATAAAAGAATGCCAGATGAAACAGTGGTTAAGGACCCAGCAGCTAACCAAAAGTTCAGGGTCAAGTCCACCAGGCACTCCAAGGGAGCAAGAGGTAGCAGTCTGCTTTCATAAGAATTCACAGCTTCAGAAAACAGGACATGTTCTTTTCCCCTGACTGAAGTTCAGGAAGTCTTTAAGAATCTAGATCCAAGAATCATAGTGCTGGTAAAGGTTGGGGCTGGAAGTTAACTCTAAATCTAATTCACACTGCTATTGCTTATTTTAAAAGTAGATACTTTCTTCTCACTTAATGTACCCTTCTTTCTTTTCTTTTTTCTTTCTTGTTGTCTCATTGGATCTGACTGGCACAGAAGGAGATTGACCCTCCTTTTCCCTCAGAGCATCTGGTGGATTCGAACTGCGTAACTTCGAGATTGCAGCATAGCTTCTTGCCATTAGGCTACCAGAGCTCCCCTTAATGTACTCTTATCTCTCACACAGAAATCTATTATAACAGATTCAGGTCCATGAACCAACTGAGAACTAGCCAGGAATAGAAGATAGAGAAGAAAACAAGCATCCTAATGCATTATATTCTAGAGATCACAGAATTGCTTGTCTTTCCTTTTTCAAATGCTGCTAGAAGCACAGAGGGTCTTCCTGGTTGGCTGCCCCATGGCTGGGTTTGTGTCATGCCCCTTAGTATCACTGATAGCTGAGAGGTATAATTTATGCCTTCATTTTGGGAGACTCAAATTTAATTTCTGGTCAATGTACTTCATGTACAACCATCACTACTCTGTCAGTAGAGGTTTACATATTGCTGTCAACAACTTCATCCTGCTTGGATCACTATTAACACCCTTAGTACCGACTGTGAGGAAACCAGGAGAAGTATTTCGTTGGGCAAGTCTGCAGTTACAGGGACTTCTCCAAATTATTGAGAAGTAATGATGTCAAATTGAGGATTAAGGTGCATCTGATTCAGGCCATCATGTTTCTGATCACTTGCTATGCATCAGAGAGCTGGACAGTGAATAAGGATGACAGAAGAAGAATTGACACCTTTTATCTGTGGTGTTGGAGAAGAACACTGAAATCCCATGGACTGCCAAAAGAATGAACTGGAGCGCTCTTTGGAGTCAAGGATGATGAGGCTTCACCTGACATACTTTGGACATGTTGGTGGAGAAGCTATTCTTTGGAGAGAGACATGATACTAGGAAGGGTGGAGGGTTAGCAAAGGAGAGGAAGACCCTCAACTGGTTGGTTGACACGGTGACTGCCCCAATGAGTTCCAGTGCGTCAGGAAATGTGAAGATGGTACAGGACAGGATGGGGTTCACATCCACTGTTCATCAGGTCACTAGTCATACTTGACTCGATGCCACCTAACAATAGCAATAGTGATGACAACAACAACAACATGATAGTGTCGTGGTCCTTTCAATTACCTCCTATGCATTTGAAAGTTGGATAATAGATGACAATAAAAGAATGAAAGCTTTCGAGCTGTGATGGTGTAGTAGAGAACTGATTATAACATGCACTGTGAGGACAGACAAGCCTGTCCTGGAGGAAGTACAACTAGGATGCTCCTTAAAGGCAAGAACAGTCAGTCTTCATCTCATAAACTTCAGAGTTTCCAGACAAAAATGGACCAAGAAGAAAGGGCTTGTGAAATCCAGTCACTGAGAAGCCTGTGGGTCACAGTGTGACCACAGGGATACAGCTGGTTGGGCCAGACTGTGTTCTGCGGTGCATGGAGTTGCTATGAGGGGAGCCTTACTCCAGCTAATGTCTCTCGGCCCAGACCGACTTTGCTTGCTGCAGATGGGTAAGAGAATGCTCCCACTCTGCTTAGACAAACTAAGGTGTTGAATATTCCCCTGGGTTCTGCTCCCACCTCTCTTGGGGACCCCTCAATAACATTACCTAAGGTAAACCCACGGGGCTCTAGGCATCTCCGCCACTGGAGCTGCCAGGCTCAGGTTACCGGAAAGGGGAGGGAGAGCAGGGCTGGCTGACAGGCTTCAGGTCCTTTCAGCAAAGCAAGCCTGAGCTCTCTACCTGCACGCATCCCACTCCCAGGGGGAAGCAGAGGACTGTACATCCTGACCAAAGCTTTGTAGACTCGGATAAACATGAACTGGCCACATTCCTGCATTTCCTTTTGTTGGATTTACTTTGCTGCCTCCAGACTGAAAGGTGAGGGGGCAGGGCCTGTGACCACCTGGACTCATCTGTGGCCAGTTCTGTGGTGAGGAGGAGGTGCCTGGAGTGTGGTGGTGGGGGGAGAGTCAAAAGAAATGATCTGATTGTATGAAAACAGTCCATGCTTCTTGTTGCTTCCTAATGATCTGGGTTAATAAATAAAAATCACAACAACCCAGCTACCCTGAGTTGATTCCAGCTCATGCACTCCATGGGGTTTCCAGAGGCTGTGAAGTCTTGGAAGTCGATCACCAAGTATTTCTTGTGATGCACATTCTGGATGTATTCAAACTACCAACCTTTTTATTAACAGTTGTGCAATTAACTGTTTGCACCATCTAGGGACTTTCTGATCTGGAGAAAGCACATCAATAAAGAACTTTTCACGGATGCAAAAGGTTGTCTCTATCTGATGCTGGGTCATCCATAATCTCCCACCTTGGTCTTCTTTGCCTTGAAACATACTGACCTCTGAGTTTTAAATCCGGGCCCCTCTTTTTGAGCAGCTGTCGAGACGGCAGATGGGAAATACGCTCAGAAGTTGTTTAATGATCTGTTCGAAGATTACTCCAATGCCCTCCGTCCAGTGGAAGACACAGATGAAGTCTTGAATGTCACGCTGCAGATTACACTTTCTCAGATAAAAGACATGGTGAGTAACATTTGGTGGTGGCTCTTTGTAATGGTGTTTATCGTGAAAAACAACAATCCTTTCCAAAGGAGATGCCTTGACTGGTCATGTGAGAGGAGACGAAACAGAAGGCTGGTGAGAGAAAGGAGGACAGAGAAAGCTTTCTACAACATTAACTTCACTAAATGTTACCCAGCCCTGGCCATTGCTTAGACCCATTTTAGACCTTCCATAGAATTGTTGTCTTACTTATTGTATGGTCCTGTTTATATGAAATGTCCAGAATAAGTACCAGCCATAGAGACAGTACACAGATGAATGGTTGTTGAGGTCACATGTGAACAAGTGTGAGAAATGATAAAAATGGCTAGCAATTAACACAGAGGATTGCGCAACATTGTGAATGGTGCCAGAAGCCATTCGATTATTAAATATTAAAATACCTCAAAGTGATGAATTCTGTGTCGTGAATTTTACTTTAATTAAAAAAAAACCCTGTTTTAAGATGAAACATCTTATTTGGTGCTTATGTACCTTTAATTACACAAGCTCTGAAACCTCAAAGATTTTTCTCTTTTGTTCATTGTAGGTATTTCCAGATTTTCTCATTAGAATACATCATTAGTTGACTAATTTTCTGAGAACTTTGAGCAGCTGATCTGTGGAAAGATGTAATTTGTCTACTTTATATTTTGAAATCTAAATCTATCAGGGGGAAGAAAGAGCATAACTTTACCCTATGATAGTTAATCAAGGAGATAGAATTAAAAAAACCTTTCACTCACGTATTGAAAACAGATTCATCAAAAAATATGTTTCTATCTAGCAGATTCTGACTCATATTGACCTTATGTTTTGTTATTATGTGCTGTTGAGTCAAAACCTAATCACAGCTGACCCTCCAGTGAATTTTCAGAGTTCTGTATATCACACAGAAGACTATCCATCCTTTCTGCCTCAGAGCAGCTGGTGGATTCTGTTTGCCTTCAAGTTTGTAGCATAACTCGTACACACTAGCGGAGAAAGAACTGCCCCGTATGGTTTCCAAAGATTCCTATGGGAAAGGAGCCCTGGTGATGCAATGGTTCAGCACTTGACTGCTACCTGAAACACTGGAGGTTGGAGCTCACCTGCTACATCTTTCTTCTGAGGAGCAGCTGACGTATTTGAACTGCCTACCTATCCTTTCAGTTGAGGGCTCAGTCTATCACCAGGGCTCCTTGAAAATAGCACACTGTTGTTACATATTATTGAGTTGGAACCAACTCCTAGTGGGTTTTCAGAGGTTATAACTTGCACAGGAGGAGATTACTCATATTCCTCCAGCAGCAGATTCATGGATATGAACCCTGTGCCTTTGGGTTGGCAGCACAACTTCTTACTTCTAAGTGACCCGAGAGCTTAGAGCTTTTGATATTACTATTGTGAAGCACATGTGTTTTAGCTATCTTGGCTTCCTAGTGCCGTTTGAACAGAAATATAAAACGTGGGTAGCTTTAAATAACAGACATTTATTTTATCACAGTTCTGCAGGCAGAAAGGCCAAATGTGGGCCTCTGCTGTGGTCACTCCTTCTGTGAGTTTCTCTTTTATAGTTTCTGGCATCTGTTGACAATTGTTGGGATTCCTTTGCTTGTAGATCATGTGCAAGTATCCATGTTGATCTTGATGTAGCTCAGAAGTGATTAAGTTGGGAGATTTTCCCTACACTGATATGACCTCAACTGGTTGCATCAGACTGCATTGTGGAAAGACAGTAATTTTATTATATTACACCCATAGGCTAGAGATGGAGATTGCATCCCATGTAGTTTGAGGAACACAATTGAACTATAAACAGAGGACATTTGGTTTTGGTGTCTCCTTGCTCTTTTCCAAAGTTACATCTAGATTCATTGTGCAGGATGAAAGAAATCAAATTCTGACTGCGTACCTGTGGATCCGCCAAATCTGGCACGATGCATATCTCCAGTGGGACCGAGACCAGTATGATGGGCTGGACTCCATCAGGATCCCCAGCGATCTGGTGTGGAGGCCAGACATTGTCTTGTATAACAAGTAAGTGTCATTCAGAGCCGAGGTGTGTTAGGAATGAGCTTGAACTTGATAGAAATAATAGAATTTAAACATGGCTTTACAAGAAATATTTAAAACATGCATGTAGTTAAGTATCAACCTTCCTTATCTTGTGGGTTACTAATAATTCATGATCTAAATTTTATGGCCATGAAAGCTTAGATGGAAAGCCTCAAATCTAGTCAGTTTATATGTTTTCCTTTCAGATAATAAATCCAAGGCTCTCCCTTGTCCAGGATCATGTATTAAAAACAATGATACTAGCAAGATTAAATCAGAAGGGCCAGCTAGGAGAGCTGTGCTATGTGTTTTGGATTTTGTGTTGAGTAGAGGATTCATGACATTATTTCACCAGCTGATCTTTCCCTGCTCTCAGAGAAAAAGGCTTTGTGTAATGGTTTGTCATGTTTGTACATCTCAAACTGAAATGTGCACATCAACAAAGACTTGGAATCTGCTAAAATACAGATTCTGATTCAGCAGGTCTGAAGTGGGGCCAACAGTGCTGCCTTTCTACCAAATTTGCAGAAAAAAATTGTGCTGTTGGTCCTTTTCCTTTGAAAAGGAACCAGGTTGTTCCATCACACAATCAAGGTCAATTGCTCCCCTTGTTGTTTAAGAGGTGTCTCTCTCCTTCTGGAATCTAGTTCTGTGGGACGCAAAAGTTTTGTCTGAAACTCAGAACCAGGTGAATGAGGGACAGATAAGGGTGAGGCAGTCCCCTGAGCCTTTGAGTGGCCATGAATTTCCCTGCAGGAAGCAACTCTGCTAAATTGAGGCTGGTCATTAGTCACTTTTTGCTAAGAGAACTTATCCAAAGCCTTTTCTTGTAGATTTGAGGGTAAGTTTGCAGAGCAGATTTGTTTCCCATTTAACAAGTCATTCACATTTTGTTTCATGAGGTCGACTGAGATCCCCACAGTGTGAAAGCATCTCTCCAACTTCCTTCCTCCCTTTACCATTTTCACGTGTCCTCTTTCCTTTCCCTTGCTGCCTCTTGAGTGTTATCTTTAAAGTTACAGACTATTTAGAGCAATCACCAAATTTAGGTTGTGAGCTCTAGAATTATAGCCCTGGTCTGGTTGTCCATTTCTCATTCCTATTGCCAAGAGGTTGTTTTCATTATTGTTTTCTGTCGAGTTAGAAGTGACTCATAGTTGAGCCTCCAGTGGATTTCCAGAGACAATAAACTGCATGGGAGGAGACTGTCCATCTTTGGGGTTTTTTTTTTCTTTTTTATTATTTTTTTGTGTATATGTGTACAGTCAAATTGGATCTGACTGGTACAGGAGGAGATTGCCCCTCCTTCTCTAACAGAGTATCTGGTGGATTCAAATGAACCACATTCCTCTGGGATTGCAGTGCAGCTTCTTGCCACTAGGCCACCCGAGCTCCCTTGAGACTGTCCATCTTTGCCTAGCAGAGCAACTGGTGGATTCAAACCACGTGTCTTTGGAATGGCAGTGCTGCTCTTCATCACTAGACCACCAGAGCTCCCTGTGCCCAGAAGGGTCCTCCCTATGTCTTTCCAAGCAGGATGGCATTCAAAGGCTGGTGCTTGATCATGACAGTCGACTTCCCTCTCCAAGTGCATGCTCTTGCTCACTCTCCCTCTCCTTTCCTTCTTTTTCTGTATCTCTCTATCCCCGTCTCTTTCTGTAGCTCTCTTTATTACGCACGTGAGTGCACACACACAACAACAAAATGAGTTGATTACTTCCCTCTCATCCACACAGTATTGCAGGAGAGGCTCTCGTGGCCTAATAGTAAGGAACTGCACTGCCAACTCAAAGGTATATGCTTCAAATCCACCAGCGGCTCCACAGGAGAGATATGAACAATCTCCTCCCATGTGATTAACTGGTTCTGAAAACCCACTAGAGGTTCAGCTATGGGTCAGTTCCATCTTGACAGTACACGACAACAACAGTTTGAGAATACTGTTAACAGAAATCCTTCATATCAGAAGAAATCTGAAGAGGTGGAAATGAGGAATCTAATTCTCAGATTCCGTCCCATATGCTTTGTGTCTTGGCTGAGTTAACCATATCCTTTGGCTTTAATAACTGTAACAATGACTATAACAGCTTTCATTGACTACAGTAAACCCATCTAATGAATTATTAAGTTGAATGGTGATCTCAGGGATATTATAACTTCAAAATTGGTCCAGATGTGAAAGAAGACATGCAGACTATATATTCTTCAAGTTTTTCAAGCTTTCTATAACTCTTCTCGCCTTTGGCATTTATATAAATTTGGATTATTTTATTGAGATTTCTCTAAATGGCAAAAAAAAAGAAAGAAATCCTTCATAGCATTTAACAAATCCTAACCATTCTCCCCGGAAAATAAATAGAGTACTGGTCCCCTTCTAGATTCTGTTTTGACTGACAGGTGATGCAGGGACCAGCTCTGACAGAAACTCTTCTTTATAAGCTTACATGGTATAGTAACTTCCTAGAGCTGCTGTAACGAAATACTACATACTGTGTGGCTTAAACGAGTAGAAATTTAGGGTCTCATACTTCTGTAATCCAGAAGTCTGAAATCAAGATGCTGGCAGCACCACCTTGTAGGGAGAAACCCTCTCTTACCACTTCTACTTTCTGGTAATCTCAACCATTCCTTGGCTTTCAACAGCGTAACACCAATTCTTCTTGCCACTGGGCATTTTCACATCACTTTTTGTCTTCACATGGTGGTCTCTTGTCTGCTTCTGTCTGCTGCTTTTCTTTTTCATTTTCTTTTTTTCAAATGGTTTACTCACATAGTTTATATACACTGTGTTTCACACTATTCTTCATTCACATCATATTTAATACAATCATTCTCATGCATTATGTTTTATAAAATTAGTCAACATTGGCCCTTGCCCATCAGGAACCCTGTCTTTTAGCCCAGACCCTTCCCATTTCCTTCCCCCTTTCCCTCCACTAGTAAAACATGTATGGAAACTCAAAGGAGGGAGGGCTGAGGATGGATAGGGGTAAAACCACAGGGTTGCACATTTTGGTGGATGTTGCTTTTTTTTAAGTACACCAATCAGATTAAGGACCCACTTTACTATGGTCTGACCTCAGGTCAGATAATCACATTTGCTCTCTTCAAGTAACACCTTAGCTGGACCTTGAGGGTGTTGAGCCTTGAACATATCTCTTTGGCAGACATAATTCAAGCCATAATACATACTAAGTTAAACCTCCAGTGTCTGCTTTTTAGAGAAATCAAACAGAAAATCTCACACAAATCGACTGTGAGGTTGAGAAATTTTGTACCTACTTCTCTTACTTCCCCTTAGATTATTGATCTTGTATAAATTCTGTTCCCTATTCCTCTGTCCTAAAAGGACTTTTCACTCTACAGATTAAGATTTTTATTATTCATTCTGCTAAGATTAATAGCACAGTATTTATAAAAAGTTTCAAGTCAATGTAATCCCAAATGCTTAACCAGACATGTAAAGTCATGATTTCTAGTACCAATTTCATCTGTGGCTCAGTCCCCCAACTCCCTCTCTATGGCCTTTGGGCTCATAGCGATTTGCTCAAAGGTCCTCCAGAGACTCAGACCTGTAAGGGGAATGATTCATGTGATTGTAGGTATGCATGCCAGTTTTTTTTTGTAGAAACTGGTGAGTAATGGACCAGGCTGGATGCAGCAGGATGCTTAAGTTCACCATATACAATTTCTCAATCCAGACAATTTCCTATCCTCCAGGAGGCTTGGGACATATTAACGCAGTTACACGGCCTCTCCTTGTGTTGATATTTTCACACACCCCACAGTGTGGACAGTTCTCTCTTATATTGATCCTACAGCTGTTGATGATTTGGGAGATTATGTGTCTGTAGTTAGGGTAGCTGGAGAGCATTCCCCTAATGTGAACTAGGAAGCTAATTATCAAGGTCTTTAACACCACATCAAGTTATTCCTGTTCTTCTGCATTGATTCTTTAGTCTTCTGCTTCCCTGTTGTGGACAATTCCATTTCTCATCCATCTTCTCCTTTGCCCTATCTTTCTTGATAATTTCAAGGTTTTACTAATTTGAAGGAGCACTAAGTGAAGCTATATGTAGTTGGGTGGCATTTGCATTCCTTTAGCCAACTGAAATGAGGGTACCAAATCAGATGCCATGAAATCAACTCTGACTCATGGAAATCCCACATGTGTCAGAGTAAATGATGCTTCAACTGATTTTTTAAATTTTTTTTTTTTTAGTGACTCATCAGTCCTTTCTCCAAAGTGCCTCTTGGTAAATTCAAACAATCAAACTTTGCATTCTCTGCTCAGCATAATAATGATTTGCCCTACTTAGAGACACCTAAAATGAAAAGTTGTTGTTAACATCCCTTGAGTTGAATTATTCCTTATAACGACCCTATGAACAACAGAACAGAAGCCTGTCCTATCCTGTGTGGTCCTTATTGTCTGACATATTTGAGTCCAATGCTTCAATCACTGGGTCATTTCATCTAGATGAGTGTCTTCCTAGAAAAAGTAGAAATTAAAATATATAATCAAACTCAAATTCTTAAAAAAGGTCAGACTAACTGGACTAATAGAGACTCAGACTATCACCCTAAGACATCTTTTTTTTTTTGAATAATTTTAATGAACATTTACAGAGATTTTGGATTTCCATTCATTTATTGCTGCACTTCTCTCCCCACCCAGCTCCCGCCCCCCCGTGATCCCAGTTCGCTCCTCTCTTTTAAAA